CTAAAAGGCCCCCCCCCCCCCCCCCCACGCGCACACACATTCATTTCGAGGGAGTTGGTTGGCTTCAGCCTGCTCTCCTAATGGCCCTATAGATTTCTTCCCTGTGCCCTTTAACTCTTGCCTTGTTTGATTCCTAGATGTGTATGTCTAGGAGTGGTCAGGGTGGGCTTCTATATAGTTGTTTCTCAGCAGTAGCTTGTAAAATTCAGTAAATAGAGTTGTTAGGAACTTATTGTCTCCCTTCCAGCATGCCAGCAATTTGGTGCCTGCTGGAGTTAACCTTAGGTAAGCATATAATAGACAAACAGACATCTAGCATTCATAAAACATCACAGGCAGCTCTTTTGTACTTGATCCAAATGGCTTCCTCCCCCATGTGTCTCAGCTGCTTGCAAAGCAGTTGTTGGCAGAGGTGCAGCAGATTCTCTGCTTTCTGTTCTCGTGCTTGGCCTCACCCAGCACAACTGGAAGCAGCCATTTCAGGAAAAGTCCAATAGGGTTATCAGAATCGTAGGCTGGAGCAGTTGCTCAGTTGTGATCACTACACTGAATGTGGTCAGTAGTTTGAGCTGTGAGAGGTTCATGTGTATTAAGTGACAATGAAATCTTCAGCTAGTTTAGCTGTTAAGCTCTAGCAAATCACTACTGAGCCTGTAAAAGGGGTCATAACCTGACCAAGTTTAAATGATGCTTAAAAAAAAAGGTAGATAGGTTCTTCTGTGCCTTCTGTCAAGAAGCTGTTTAATTTGCAGCTTGCAAAGATAAATACATGAGCCCCTGGTTATTTATTACTTGATCATGGAAGGAGACGAGTGTCTGACCAACCTTGTCTCCATCTATGATCAAATCATGAACTGCTTAGATGTGGGAGGCTCAGTTGATGTCACATACTTGGATTTTAAATAGGCCTTTGATATGATCCCATGACACGTATGGAAACCCCTCCCCCCCCCCCCCCCCAAAAAAAAAACCAACAACAAACAAACAACAAAACCTGTGGGGTTGTGGGCTGGCAGACTCCACTGTCAGGTGGGTTGGGAACTGGTTAAGGGGTCGAACCCAGAGGAGTGTTAGTGGTTAGTTCTGTATCATCTTGCTGGGAGGTGGCCAGTGGTGCCCTGTAGGCTTCAGCTCTTGGCCTCATGCTGTTCAACATCTTTATCAGTGATTTAGACGAGGATGTGGAAAGCATGCTGGCCACGTTTGCAGAAGATACTAAGTGGTCATGCTAGGGGATAGGATGTGAATCCAAGCAGACCTGGGCAAGCTGGAAAGGTGGGTGGAGTGGAACTGGATGCAGTTCAGTAAGGATAAATGTAGAGTGCTTCATCTGGGAAGAAGTAACCAGCAACATGAATATAGTTTAGGAGGAGATGTCCTGGCCAGCATGATGGCTGAAAGTGACCTCTGGGTTATGGTTGGTCATGGGATGAACATGAGCCACCAGTGCGACGCTGTAGTCAGCAGAGCTAATCGCATGCTGAGCTGCAGTAGCCAATGTGTCACAAGCAGGGCTAAGAAAGTGATACTTCCTCTCTACTCGGCTCTGGTGAGACCTTAGCTGCAGTACTGTGTACAGCTCTGGGCGCTGCACTTCAACGAGGACATGGAAAATCTTGAAAGAGTCCAGAGAAGGGCCACAGGAATGTTTAAGGGCCTGGAGGACAAACCTTATGCAGAAAGACTAAGGGATCTGGAAATGTCCAGCCTGGAGGAGAGAAGACTGAGGGGGGGACTTGGTGTCTGTCTAAATATGTAAGGAGTGAATATTGGGAGCTGGGAGAGAAACTGTTCACTAGGGTGCCCCAGGGGAGGACAAGGAGCAATCACCATAAACTGTCAGAGGATGGTTTCAGGTTGGATGCAAGGAAGGGTAAGGGTGACCAGAATCTGGAATAGACTTCCCAACGAGGTGGTGTAGTCCCCAACCTTGGAAGTCTTTTCAAGAGGAAACTGGACAGACGCCTTGCTGGGATCATTTAATCTCAGCAGTATTTCTGCTCAGAGCAGGGGGGTTGGACTCGATCTTTCGAGGTCCCTTCCAGGCCTTAATTTCCATGATTCTGGGATTCTTTCTGCATGTTGCTGCTTATTTGCCTGACCTCTTAATATCTGTTACAGATGTTATGTTGGTCAACATGTGTTTGCTGGTTAGAAACTTGCAAAACAATGGCTGGATTTTCAAAACTGCTTTACAGTGCCTCTTGGTTCCTATTTTTATTGGATGCTGAGATCTTTTGAAAGTCCTGGTCACTTAGTTTACGTACCGTAAGAGGAACTGAGCTCTCCTAAGAATTTGGTCTTGTTTGCAGATGCTAATCCCTCATGGCATTCTGTCCCTGATGTTGTCCTCTTTTATCTAAATGTCGGGTATTTTAGCTATGGAGCACAAAAAATACTGTATACAAGTTAGAGGGAGCCAGGTTCTGTGAAGTCGGAGTGCTCGCACGTCGGGCATTAGTTTAAGATTCCAGCAGGAGTAGAAGCAGCGAAATGTCCAGTCAGGCTTCAGATGGAGTTTGATTAGTTTACAAACGGGATTAGAAAAAAGTGGTTGCTGGCAAGAGCATGGTTTTAGCTAATAATAACCCAGGTCCCTTTCTAGTTCTTTGTTTTCTAGAGATCCCCAAAACCTGCTGTGCCAAAGTTCTAATAGTCAGACTTGGGAGTATTGCTATTGCCTTTATGAAGGAAAAGAACTAAAGATTGAGTTGCTTTCCAATGCTAAATGTTAATTACATTCTGTGGTGGTCTATTTTGCAGTGTCTCCTGTGGGTATTCACCTGGTGATTTAGTTTGGGCCAAGATGGAAGGTTATCCCTGGTGGCCATGTCTGGTATACAACCACCCAATTGAAGGAACACTCACCAGAGGGAAAGGGAAATCCTCTCGTATCCATGTTCAGTTTTTTGATGACAGTCCCACAAGAGGCTGGGGTAGCATTAAATAAATAAGGCCATATAAAGGTAAGAGACATAATTTAACTACTTGAAAGGGGAAAGGGAAGAGAAGCTGTGTGTTGGGTAGAAATAAATGCTAGGCTGGGGCCCAAGGAATTTTATTTTTAATTTTAGCCCTGCTATTAAAGGCTTGAATTGCCTGGGGGGGAATCTGTTCCCCATTGTATAAAATGGTAGAAGCTTCCACTTCCCCTCACAAATTCTAAATATATTGTGGATTATACAATCCTTTGAACAGGTATAATGCTAGACAAGTTCTACTAGTTTTTCAGCTTTAATTTCCAATTCTAAGAAGTCTCATTGCTTTTAAAGGAACTTTTCTGAAAAACTGGGCTTTTTTTTTTTTTAAACACTCCTTACAGTGGCATGACGAAGGCCTAAACTTGTACTTTGATAGAACATTATCAAGAATCAAATCAATCTGTTGTACAATACATTTGATCAACAATGGTATTTATTTTCTAATTATATTTTTGCTACATAATATTAACCTGAATTAAACTATGGGTTCCGAGTAACACATCTTTCTTAATTTGCTAGCTAGCCACCATATTGAAGCTTATGGGATTTGGTTATACAAAATCAGTGACACTCTTTAGAACTGACACTGCTATTTACTAACAACAGGAACTGAATTCAGAATTCTGTTTGTTAGTGGTATGCCCGTCCCTTTTGTATTTATGCACACTCAAGTACACTGTATAATTCCCTTTACTTACGTTTCTGTGGCTTATTAAAAATGAAAATGGCCTGAATGTTTAATGTGTGCTTCGTATCAAATACATCTACATTTGTCTGCATACAATTGGTCTTTATCTTCCCCACAGAAAATAAGCTGATGATTCCAGTCTTAACTGAAAACTGGTAGAATTTTAAAAAGAAGAAAGGAAACAAATGAAGAGTCATAAGTTTCTAACAAAAATGTGCTATATTTAATATCTTAAAACGCTGGGCCTACTGGACAATGCAGTCAACACAGGGCAGACTAGAACAGGGGTGGGCAATTATTTGGGCTGGAGGGCCACTTAGGTTTTGGTGAGCTGTTGTGGGCCGCGGAGGGGGGGACTGGGGAGATGCCTGTTGATCCTATCCGGCCTGCCAGCTACTGTTGGGAGCCTGAGGAGGGAGGGCTGCACCCCATGCCTCTCCATTCTTCTGGGGCTAGGCCAGGCCAGGCCATGCAGCATGCAGACTCCTCTGTCCCTGCTCAGCTTCCTGTTGGCGCTGTGCAGTCCTGGCACCGTGGCTCCCAGCAGGTGGGCCCACATGGGACTGGGCACAATGCAGCATGCTGGGTAGCCATCTTGCCTGTCTGTCACAATGACCTATAGCTGCCCTGGACAGAGTGCTCTCCCCTCCCCTCCCCCACCCCCATGGTTGGCATGGACTCATCTCCTAGTGGTGCGGCAGCAGCTCATCACAGCGGGAAAGTGAGTGAGATGGCTGCTCAGTGCTCTGCATTGCGCCCTGTCCTGTGCAGGCCCAGCTGCTATGGACCGCCTTGCCATTACTGCACAGCCACAGTACCGACTGGAAGCTGTGCAGGGTAGGGGGTGGATGCTGGGGTGGGCAGGGAGGAGCGGAGGCATCTGCATGTTGTGTGGCCTGGCTCTGCCTGCAGCAGAGCAGAGCTGAACAGGGCGCAACCCTCCCTCAGGCTCCCAGTGACAGCCCGTGAGCTACGTAGGATCAACTGGTGGGCCAGATGCAGCCCATATCTTGCCCACCCCTGGACTAGAGTATTTCTGTCTAAAAGGCAAAGCATGTGCTTTTTTTGTCTTGCCTATTCATAGAAATAGAATTGGTGTTGCTTTCTACAACCCTGAATTGTATATTTCTATTTGGTAGTCTTGAAAAAAATCCATTTCGGAGACAACCTGGCTCTTTGTCAGCACGGAGGTGGAAAAGGATCTTGGAGTCATTATTGACTCCAAGGATCTTGGAGTCATTATTGACTCCAAGATGAACGTGGCTCGGCAGTGTGGGGGAGGCGGCTAGGAAGGCCAACTGTACCTTGTCGTGCATCCACAGGTGCATTTCAAGCAGGACCAAGGAGGGGATCCTCCCCCTCTATGCGGCACTGGTCAGGCCGCAGCTGGAGTACTGCGTCCAGTTCTGGGAGCCGCACTTTAAGAGGGATGTGGACAGCATCGAGAGGGTCCAGAGGAGGGCCACTCGCATGATCAAGGGACAGCAGGGCAGGTCCTATGAGGAAAGGTTATGGGACCTGAACCTGTTCAGCCTCCAGAAGAGAAGGCTGAGGGGGGATCTTGTGGCCTGCTATAAACTAGTCAGGGGGGATCAACAGGCACTGGGGGAGTCCCTGTTCCCCCGAGCGCCGCCAGGAGTGACCAGGAATAACGGTCACAGGCGGGCGGAGGGAAGGTTTAAGTTGGACATCAGGAGGCGCTACTTCACGGTCAGGGCGGCTAGGGTCTGGAACCAGCTTCCAAGTGAGGTGGTGCAGGCTCCCACCCTGGGGGTTTTTAAGAGGAGGTTAGATGACCATCTTGCTGGGGTCGTTTGACCCCCAGTACTCTTCCCTGCCACGGCAGGGGGTCGGACTAGATGATCTGCCCAGGTCCCTTCCAACCCTAGAAACTATGAAACTACTATAAGAACTCAGACACACAAGTCTCCAAATGGCCCGTGCGAGCCAGTTTATTGTGCATGCACGCAATATAGAATTTGTCTTGGCCCACCTATTTGTCAGTGTGTTCACGGTACTCTCAGCATTAACGTCGTGAATTGACCTTATGATGTCACTGAAACTTAGGGCTCTGGTAGTATTAGTTGATAAATAACAGCAAGATACTTTTAGATTAGGACTGTCCAATTTCTAGGCATTCGGGAGCCAGATGCCCTGTAGGCTGCACCACCAGGCACTACACACTTGTAGGCCACATCAGGATGAACCATGGTCCTGCAGGCTGCATGCTGTGTGGACATCCGCCCTCACAAATGTTGCGTTTTACACCCAGCCCACCCTACTCTGTCCTCTGCATAGTCCTTTTTCCCCTCTACCCCCCCCCCAACTGCTACATCATACACCCCCATTGGGCGTTTCTCTTCCCCTCTTTCTGCACTGCTGTATCACACGCTTGTGCTCCCTCCTGCTACAGATCTGTATGGCACCAGGCTCCCCTTTAACTCTGCCAGCCATGCTGTGCTATGCTCTGCCCTGTCCCCTCCTTGGGGTGGAGGCAGGCAGCAAAAACTGAAAGCTGGCTGGGGGAGGGAGCCCAGAGACTGGTTGTTGTTACAGCTAGAGGGATGGGGGAGAGCAGCAGTTGGGCAGGAGCTGGGGATCCTCAACATGACCCCTTATGGGCAGCCAATTGAACAGACCTGTTTTAGCTGGTTGGACTCTTCCACTGTATTTGTAAATAGGGGTGCACCGATAGAGATTTTTGGAGCCGATACCAAGAGCCAATTTTTAGGGAGGCATAGTGTCCAATGCTGATCCAATTTCTGATGCACACCCTGGCAGCTTGAAGAGCTGTGCCCGGCTGGTAAGTCTGTTGTGGTGGAAGGGGAAGGAGAAGGGAAGGGGCGTGGGGGAGGAGATTGAGGTCCCTGTGGTGAGGAAGGAAGTGGGGCTGGGGTTGGGGCAGGTGCGTCCCGGGCAGGGCATGGGATGGATCTGCAGCTCGTCCGGGGGCCCAGGCAGGGGTGTGTGGCTCCCACTGCTGTGCGCACCCCAGAATTTGCCATAGCTCCCACTGCCTCCCACCCCGAGCACAGCCCCGGCCCCAGCCCGCAGCAGCAGCAGCCCTCCTTACACGTAGATCCATAGGCACAAGCCCCCCATGCTCTCCCAGGATACGCACAGCTGCGGGAACTGCCCACCACTCTCCACACTCCCCAAATAAGCCACGGCTCTGTCCCGTGTCCTGCTCTACCCCAGCTGGGCAGCGCGTGCCCCAGCCCCACTCCCTCCCTCACTTCATGGGTCTTTCTGTGCCCCACGCCCCTTCCCTTCCCCTTCCCCTTCTATTCCAACAGACTTACCAGCTGGATGCAGCTCTCCAAGCTGCTGGGCTGTGCTCCTCGCCACCTGAGTGCTGCACTGCAGCTGTGCGCATGTACAGGGCATTTATCAGCCACGTCAGCCAATAAAAGCTGATTTTCAATGCAATCAATTTTCTTTATATTGCTGCCAATCTGATATCGGTGCACCTCTAGTTGTAAAGTGTGTACTGTAATGGGAACCTTGGGCTCTTATGATATGGAAGCCAGTTTGCTAAAACTCCACCCAGTTTCATAAAATAGTCCATATGGAGGGTTTAAGGAGCTGTTTCAGCCGATTTTCAGTGTCACATTGTGACCTGTATTTGGGCTTCCATACCATTTTTTTGTTTTCAACGATGACTGCTATTGTCAAACAGACGCTTTCCGTTAATATTCTTTTCTGGATTTGGATTTTATCTTAGACTAGGATAAATATTTTTGACAAAGCTAAATAGTTGTAAAAATACAAATCTTGTTCATGCAGGATTTGATTATTGCTTCTTAGTGTGATGTGCTCAGATCAAGTGTAGTTATTTCATTTGATAGGTATGCAGAGCAGTCCTTGAATGCAAAAATTGTCATCACTTTTTAATGCAGAACAAGTGATAGATTCATAGATGTTAGAGTTGGAAGGGACCTCAACAGATCATTGAGTCCGACCCTCTGCCCTGGGCAGGAAAGAGGGCTGGGGTCAGATGACCCCAGCTAGGTGCTTGTCCAGCCTCCTGTTGAACATCCTCAAGGTAGGGGAGAGCACCACCTCCCTTGAAAGCCCATTCTAGATTCTGGCCACCCTTACCGTAAAGAAGTTCTTCCTGATGTCCAACTTAAATCTGCTCTCTCTGTTTGTGGCCGTTGTTCCTGGTTATTCCAAGGGGTGTCCTAGTAAACGGGGCACCTACTACTTCTTGCTGCCCTGCTCCAATTAATTTGTAAACAGCCACAAGATCCCCTCTCAGCATTCTCTTGCAGAGGCTGTAGAGATCCAGGTCCCTCAGTCTCTCCTTGTAGGGCCTTACCTGCAGGCCCCTGATCATACAAGTGGCCCTTCTCTGGACCCTCTCAAGGTTATTCACATCCCTCTTGAAGTGCAGCACCCAGAACTGGACACAGTACTCCAGCTGTGGTCTAACCAATGCTGCATAGATGGCAAGTATCACCTCGCCAGACCTGTTTGTGATGCACCTGCTAATGCACAATAAAATGTGGTTAGCTTTACTGATCACTTTGTCACATTGACGACTCATGTTCATGTTGGAGTCACTATGACTCTGAGATCCATTTCTGCTACAGTGCTGCTGAGAGGGTCATCCCCCAGCCTATAGGCATGCTGGTGATTCTTTCTCCCTAGATGTAACACTTTGCACTTGTCTTTGCTGAACTGCATCCTGTTCTTTTCTGCCCATTTTTCCAACCTGTCCAAGTCTGCTTGGATTCGATCCCTTCCCGCTAGTGTGTTTGCTCTACCCCATAATTTTATGTCATCCACGAATTTGGACAGGGTACTCTCCATGCCCTCATCCAAGTCACTGCTGAAGACATTGAGCAGCACAGGTCCAAGGACCGAGCCTTCGGGGACCCCACTGCCCACAGCTTTTTAGGTCAATACTGACCCATTCACCACCATTCTCTGGGTGTGACCCTTAAGCCAATTTGCCACCCACCTGACCATGTAATCATCTATGTCACAGCCTCTACCCTCTCAGTTTGTTTATGAAACTAGGATGTGATACCGTATCAAAGGCCTTCTTGAAGTTCAAGTAGATGACATCTATCTCGACTCCTGCATCTAAGCATTTTGTGACCTGGTCATAAAAAGAAACTAGGTTAGTCAGGCAAGATCTACCTGCTATGAACCGATGCTGGTTGCCCTTCAGCATTATTTTTCCCGCTGGATTCCCACCAATTTGATCCTTGATAATTTTTTCAAAGGTTTTCCCGAGGATAGAGGTGAGACTAACCAGCCTATTGTTACCTGGATCCTCCTTCCTCCCCTTTTTGAAAATAGGGATCATATTGGCCCTTTTTCAGTCCTCTGGGATCTGTCCAGAGTGCCACCAGTACTCAAACAGCTGTGCCAGTGGCTCTGCTATGATGCTGGTTAACTCCTTCAGCACCCTTGGATGAAGATCATCTCGTCCTGCTGACTTAAACACATCCAGCCCCTCCATGCATCCCTGTACCAGGTCGACACTGACCACTGGCGGGCTTGTGAGACTAACCAGCCTATTGTTACCTGGATCCTCCTTCCTCCCCTTTTTGAAAATAGGGATCATATTGGCCCTTTTTCAGTCCTCTGGGATCTGTCCAGAGTGCCACCAGTACTCAAACAGCTGTGCCAGTGGCTCTGCTATGATGCTGGTTAACTCCTTCAGCACCCTTGGATGAAGATCATCTCGTCCTGCTGACTTAAACACATCCAGCCCCTCCATGCATCCCTGTACCAGGTCGACACTGACCACTGGCGGGCTTGTGTTCCTCCTGTGTCTATCTATAATGCAACTGGGTGATTTGTCCTGATCCATGTTCAGGAATACAGAAGTAAAGAACTCATGAGTTTTTTACAAGCTTCAGCTCTTTGGGATAGAATTATCTCAGTTTGAGTTGGATTGTGGGTCTCTTGGGTGATGCAAAATGTTGGATAATAGTGGTCCATTTGACCCTTATTTTAAATGAAGAGGGTGCATGGTAATGCTAAAAGACTAGTCATATCCTACACTTCGTTTTGTGTTCCAACAAAATATTTGCATGTCTTGCAGATTCAGCAGACAAAGAAACACAGAAGGGAGGCATGTTTTACAGTTCAAAGCCTGAAATTAAAAGAGCAATGATCTTAGCAGACGATGCTATGCTTAAAGATGCAAGAAAGCGGCTTGAGCTTGCTGTGTGCAATGAACCTTCAGACACGGAAGATGAGGAAATGGAGGTAACAGTTTTCATTTTACCATGGTCTCTCTTAGAAGTAGTTAGAAGAGGAGAGAAATGTGTGCTTCCTGTGCTGATTTATCAGTCAACTATTGTCTTGTGTTCTGTTTCTCAAAGAACCCTTTTCTTTGTGTCCTGAATTGGGAGTAACTCCAGTCCAGTCTGATTGAAATGAAATCCTCTATTAGCTAAAGTGTATCATCCCTAGCTCTCACAACTAGAAGAGCACCGATATATTGGATTGGAAGAAGAAAATTGTCTATATTGGATATTGCCCCAATCGGGCTAATAATTTGGCCAATAAATACCTATTCTGTGTGCAGCTGCAGCGTGGGGAGCTGCCTCCAGCTGGTAAGTCAGATGGGGAGGGAAGGGGCATGGTGGGGGCAGATCAGTGCCCCCGCAGTGCGAGAGGGGGCAGGGGCAGGCACTGCCCAGCCGGGAGGGAGGGGGGCAGAGCATGGGACGGAGGCACAGCTCCCCGAGGGGCCCCCCCTCGCCCTGGCTGGGCAGTGCCTGCCCTTGCCCCCTCCCTTACTGGGGGGGGGCGTTGATCTTCACCCCCATGCCCCTTCCCTCCCCTTCCACCACACCGGACTTACCGCCTAATGGCAGCTGTATCGGATATCGGATCAGTATTGGCCAATATAACTCCTTAAATATTGGCCCCTAAATCCCTACTCGCAACTTTCTCATATGGCACCGTCTCTCCCAGCAAACTAAGGAAACTCATTAAGCTTTTCATTAACAAGCTAAGGAAATACAGACTTGGTATTGTATGGTGAATATATAACTGGTTGGATCATTGCATTCAGTGGATAGCCATCAGTGGCTCAGTGTCTAGTTGGGAGGAGGTACCAAGTAGGATTCCTTGGGGATCTATCCTGGATCTGGTATTGTTCAACATCTTTTAATGATTTATATGATGGGATCAAGTGCATGCTTAACAAATTTGCAAACCACATGAACATGGGAGAAGTTGCAGATGCTCTGGAAGCTAGGGCTAGGATCCACAATGACCTGAATGTGCTGGAGAAATGTACAGTCAGTTGGATTAGAATTAGTAAGGACAGGTGCAAAGTCCTGAATTTGGGATGCAATAATTGCATGCCCAAATACGGACTAGGCTGCAGTACTGCAAAGAAGAACCTAGGGGTTAGAGTAGACCATAAACCAACACTGTGTTCTTGTTGCAGAAATAGCCAACAGCATCCTGGGTTGTATTAACAGGAACGTCACTGGCAAATCAAAGGAAGTGATTCTTCCATTCCACTCTACTTCCATTCCATTCTTCCAGTGTTCAACACTGCTGAGGCTTTACTTTGAGTACGGCTTTCAGTTTTGGGCCCCACACTTAAGAACAAAGTGGACAGTTTGGAAAGAGTCCAGTGGAGGGCAACAAAAGTGACATGGGGTCTGAGGGAAAAGATTTATGAAGAAAGGCTGAAAGAACTTGGTTATTTAGTCAGGAGAAGAGAAGACTGAGGTGGGATTTGATACATCTTCCAGTACCAGAAGGGTAATTAAAGAGCGGGTGCAGATGGGCTTTTCTGTGTGGCCATAGGGGACAGGACTAGGAATGATGGCCACATATTGAGCAGAGGAAATTTAGATTAGAGATTGGGAGGAACTTTCTGACTATGAGGGTGGCCAAACATAGGAACAAGCTATGTAGAGAAATTGTAGAATCCCTATCCTTGGAAGTTTTCAAGAGCAGGTTAGACAGACTGGGATGGTTTAGTCAGGGCTGATCCTGCCTTGAGTAGGGAGGCTGGACTAAAGGACCTTATGAGGTCCTTTCCAGTCCTACTTTCCTGCGAACCTATGAGTCTTTGATCCCTC